TGTGAAGAGGCTATGTTTATTAGTATAAAATTGAAATGGGTATGGGAGGAAGGGTTAATGAATGGTGGGGCTATTGATATTTTTTAATTTTTATCATTAATGTTTTTTTTTGGTGTTATATAATTTTTTTATTTGATTAACTGTGGAGTTTTTATTTTTATTGAAAAACAATAAAATTATTAGCATTGCCTAATTTTTTTTATTTCCAAAATTTAAAATTAAATAAAATTTAAAATTAAATAAAATTTAAAAACATTACTCTCCTCCAATTTTATTTTCCACTTAATTATTTAATTATAAAGGTAATGAACAGGCCTGAATGAGTTCTAGCATCATCAATTGCAGTTTACCAAAACAAAAATAGTTTTCGCGAAAATAGTAGATCACTGAAGATATATTTTTTTAGTGTATTTTCAGTAGAAGAAATATTTGTAACTTTGTCAACAATATTTTTTTATTAATTTGAGAATCGTTAAATCAAGAGCGCCGGTTATGGGCTAGAACTCTTAAAGTTCGAATTTTAATACAAGGTTTCATTTATTTTGCAAAAATGTTTGTTAAAATACATCCCCATCGGCTTGAAAAATGGGGAGGGGAGTGCAGAAGTGCCAGTATGACCGATAGAAAATATATTAACGTAAATAAACTGTTGGGAGACTTGAAATAAAGGAATAAGTTATAGTTGCTAATAACGGGCAGGAGGACAAATAGTCATTATATAACTAGAGTTTTCCGTTTTGAATAGAAACTCGCATTATGAGAGTATAAAATACGTACATATGATTTGTATATTTTATCAACTTTCAATCCGAAACATGATAGAAAAAAATAATTTTAAAAAGTATTTAAAAAATCAGCGGTGTTCGCAGTGTAAACAAAATTCCTTTAAATAATGTTCTAAATAAAATAGGAAAACAGTCTTTAAAACTCTTTAATGATGAATGGGATATGATTGATGAGCTTTACGCACTATTAAATCCATTCCGAAAGTCGGTAGAATTTCTTTCCTCCCCAAAAGGATCTACAATAAACTTAGGGTTATTATTTCGCAGTGAAATAGAAGCTCATATACAAATCAATAGATCTGATTGCTCAGATATTATATGCTTAAAAGAAAATATGAAAAAAAAGCTTGACCATAGGTTTCCCATTACTGAACTTCAAGTTATTTTATATTTTTATTAATAAAATTATATTTTAAACATTAGATATTAGCAACTCTACTTGATCCCAGATTTCAAAATCTCAAAGTTGTTTCAGAATATAATTCGAATTCTACGACCTCATTGCAATTTTTAATTCGAAATTTAAAACTTGTAGAGCATGATAGAAATGCACAGAGTGAAATTCAAGTTGAGGATAATGGTCAATCAAGCTCTTATATAGCTAAATTAGCTCGTAAACATTCCCTTCCTATTATCGATTATAACAATATTAGTAATCTTGAACAAGAATGCCATATTTTGCTCAGCCAAAATAATATCTCAGAAGAGGATGCATTAATCTTTTGGAAGAAAAAGCGACTGGAACTTCCTATGCTTGCATATTTAGCTAGGAAGGTTCTTTGTATACCTGCAACCAGTACACCCAGCGAAAGAATTTTTTCCATTATAGGATTAATACTCAATGCGAAAAGGACTTTTTTATGTCCCACAAATCTTGATAAAATACTGTTTATTCATGACAATTATAATTTTGCTAAATCTGAATTCTGACTTATTATATTTCACACTTTATATTTTGCTTGCATTCCAAATTTATTTTAATTATAATAAAAATCAATAGAATATTTCTTATATGTGTTGTTGATGTGACTCTGGTCTGAGTAAAAATATAATTCCTTAGTCTATTTCCGAGAATGAGAAAATACATAAATTTAAATTGGAGTGAAACAGGAAATAATTTAAGATCAATTAAACTATGTTAACAATGTGTTAGAAAAGATCGCCTAAATAAATTATAAAAAAATGTAATACATTAATTTATAAATTAAATTCATTAAAAAAATTTTTAAAATAAATATTGCACCACCGCCTCCGACAATTTAGTAGGCGGCGGCGAAACCGGCGTGCGATCGAACGCCGATAAAAAATTTAAAAAAACCGCCGCCGTTGATTGAAACATCGGAGCACAGGTCTAATTATAATTATAAAATTGCAAATTTATATTTATAAAAAAAATTAAAATTTCCATGATTCACGGGAAATTCATGTTCACGCCCGATTACGCCCGTGAAAAATTTTGGGAAGGCCTGTCACGCCCAGTCACGTTAAATAATTTAAAGACACGATGGGTCACGCGGAATTTCACGGCCCGCGCCCACCACTACTCTCGCTATCAAGTTTTATTGAGTATTGAGCAAAACTAGGGCTGTGCCGATATTAAATATCGGATCGGATCAGTACCGATATTTAGCGTTTTCCAAAAATATCGGATCGGCCCGATACCTGTAAAAACCCCGATCCGATCCTTTTACTAAAAATGCAATTCTTAAAACTTTTGAGTAATGAAACTTTGAATTATTATTACATCATATTTATTATTTTTTTAATAAAAATTTTTTTTAAAAATATTTAAAAAAAAAAATAAAAAAAATTTCCGAGTTTCAGTGAGTTTCTATTTTACAATAATATTTTCTAAATAATTTTTTTTTAAACAATGCAAATGTTATTTATTTTTTTAAATAGATTAAGTTTATTATAAAAATAGAAAGGAACACCCAAAGTTTTATTTATTTTTAATTTTTTTAAAAAATAACACCAATTTTATTATTTATACTTTAAATAAAAGAATTATTTTAAATATGGTTTCTGAATTATGGAAATATATAAAGAGAATTTTGCAAAATGCGTTATCTGCGGAATTCTAATTTCAGGGGGGGGGGAATAATGAAAAATTAATTTAATACAACAAATATTCGGAAACATTTAAAGCGATTCCATCAAACGGAATTCGAAGAGCTAATACAAAAAGAACAAGAAATATTAGAAAAAACAAATCAAATTTTTTTAAAAAAGAGCCCTGAAAGTCAGCCATTCTTAATAAAACTAATATTTGGAAATATTCTGATCCTTTGCCTGAAAATCTAGAGGCTACAATATCAGCCATTCTTAATAAAAATAATATTTGAAAATATTCTGATCCTTTGCCTGAAAATCTAGAGGCTCTTATATTTATTTTAAAAAATCTAATATATAATTATATTTATTTTATCTATTATAATATAATTTTTTTTAAATTATAGTTGAAATAAAAAAAATTAAATTAAATGCATAATTCTTTTGCATAAAAAATAGATTTCTTAATTACATTTGGTTCAAAGAGGGGTGGTTAAAAATCAATATAAATATCGGATAGGTATTCGATCGGTTTTGAACTAATACCGGATCGGATCGGTGAAAATATGTGGATCGGCACAGCCCTAAGCAAAACCAAATGGCTAAAGACCATCTTAAGGATCAATGGCATAGTCAGAACTCCATTATTTCCAATATTTGGAGCCTATGACAATAAAACCTACTGGTTGTAGTGATAATAATGATAATGATAGCAACATTGATGATCTTGAAATTTTACTTTTAGATAGAGAAAAAAAATCATATTATCATCAAATAGAAAGGAGGATCAAAAAATGCTTATTATCATCAAATAGAAAGGAGGATCAAAAAATGCTTATTGCATTTTTAGGAGAAAAGTTCTCAGAAGTTAAGAGAATAAATAAGATAAATATTTTTAAATTTTGGGAAAAAATTCTTCAATATATCCAGAATTATATATATATCTTGTTTAGAATCGTCATAGCTGTACCGGCGACACAAGTACAATAATTTATGTATTATAAAGATAACTATCTATTTCAGGTAAGGGTAGAACTTTTCTATCTTTGAAGTATATATTGTCTAATTTAGGTGGAAATCTCAAGGATGATAATTTAGAACATATTATGATTGTGCAATTGAATAAAACATTTAACATATAATTTATTTCATTCAAAATTTTTTATTTGTAAATTATGAATGTGTATATATTGATAAATGAATGAAAAAAAGGTCTTATTTTAAGTTTTTATGTTCCCTGAACCCCGACCCGAACCTTTTTGAATTTTATTACTGTACCCGAATCCGGACCCTTTTTTTTGTCGAAGGGTTCACATCCCTTACATAATGATATTATATCTTGATTAGCTTCAATAAATTTATCTTAAAATATAATATCTAAAATATTATTAATTTTAGTTCAGATGTTTTTAAAATATAAGCCATTTGTGGCGGACTTGGATCTGTCAAACCCCACATGAGTGTTTACGCGTTTTCTTAAGCCTAGGTTAAGATATTTGTTTTAAAAATTACCATTTAATCTTGATAAATAAATTAATATTTCAAGTTAAAAAATTTTTTCATTATTATTTATTAAACCCTATATATTTTATTCTCATCGGAGTATTTGAGGGTAAACCCGCATGGTAAAATTTTAAATGGAATTATTGTTTTTTTTGAAATGCAATATACAGCCAAAATTATTCAACATAAAGAAATTGTAGTCGAACGAAAGATTATCAAAAATAAAATTTCAAGCTGGCCAAAATTTGCTTTAAAAATACAGGGCTGGGTGTGAAAATAAAATAAATTCAAATCCCGGGCTGAACTTGGAAATAATATAATTTATTTATATAAATTCCGGGCTGAGCTTAAAAATATTTATATTATTCAAGTCAATGGCGGACCTGAAATTTGACCTCATAAATACTTTACAACAAAACAGTTTTATATAGAAATACATTATGGTTGGATTCACTCCTTAATTCAGTTTATTGGCCCAATTTTAATTGAATAGAATTGCCAGAATTTAAAGCAGTTTCTCCATAACTTTAATTGGAAGCTCTAAATAAGGATACCGCGAATATCAATTTGTAATTTTTATTAGCTTAAAATTATATTTGCGAAAAACTTCATATTTCACTTAAGATTGTGAATCATTTGATTTAAAAAAATGGGACTTACGTGTAGGCTTCAAAATCACCGTTTGTTATGGCTTCTAGGAGTTGCTCGGTAACTTTGATTATATCCTGCTTGCGATCTATGATTAATAATAATGATTTAGAATAATTTCGAAAAGTTATTTTTTATATAAAATTTGATTTTAAAAAACGTATAATTTTATATATTTTACTCATTTATTCTAAATAAAATCTTTTTAAGTAAAGAAAGAAATCCAGTATGATAAATATCGGAAAGAATATTCAAAAAGTGAAATATTTTTTTAAAAAAATATATATATTAAAAGTTATACAAATACAAAATAAGATGCAGGAGGATGGATGGTATGATCCGATTTCTTAAAAAAAAGAATAATAATAAATTGAATTAACCTAAATATATAATATTTATTTAGATTGAGTTAAAATATATCCTTCCCTCATTTTATATTATCTTATATAAATATCGGGTTTACCAATATATTTTTATTTTTAATAATTTTAGAAGGTAGGGAAAATCCTTATCAATTTTAGCATTAAACAAGGACAAAAAAAGGATTCAAATCGCTATTTTTTTAATGAGTTTGGCTCAGGTTCCCTATCGAACCGAAATCCTCATATGAAATGAGGCATCTCGGAATGAAGGCTCATATAAGGGGTTTTATAATATAATTAAAAATATTTATTTATAGATAAAATATTTTATTAATGAAAAGATTAAATACATTTTCACCTCTAATGGGAGCATAAATTTTTTAATTAAACTGTTTTATCGATTTTTTCTAAATATTCAATATAGGGTGCATGTATCCAATTAACGTTATGAATGAATGCTAAATTTTTTTATGATCAATGTTTAAGGAAATGATAAAAAAAATTATAACATGAATATGGTATCATTTGTAGAGAACAGAGAGATCAACCTTCCTAAGAATTTTAGGGATCAAATCAATCTATAAAACTAAATGAAATCAATTTACTTTGGATCGGACATCGTAGGAGGGGGGGGGATGTTTTTAAGCAGTTTGGTGAGCATGCATAAGTCATCAAATTTTAAATGAGACAGCGCGAGGGTGATACTATTATCAGGAATGAAAATCAAAACCTTAGATCCAATTAAAATTCGTCCTAATTTACAATTTTCCAATTTGTGTAAAGTTATTTCGTTTATGCTTCCTAATATTATGAGATTTATTAAAATAATAAACTTAGAATTATTCTGAATTTCGGAGTACTGGTATTTGTCACAACTTTGACACTATTATGTTGTATATTAAGGCGATTCCTGGATTTTAGGGTGGCTTGACTCTCCTTAGAAGATTCAGCAAAATCATTTGAAACATTATTAATATGGCATGTTGAGAAAAAAGGATTGGGTGGGGGTGCAGATAATGGCATAAGCCCGGTGCTAGATGAGAAAGAGGTTTTCGAATTTCGATGATTTTTGATGGCTGCCCCTGGACTGAACCAAGTTGGCAAAAGAAGTGAGGGAATTCTTTTATCATCGTTTGAATCTTGATAATTGAAATTGTTGTCTTTGAGCGATAAGAGATAAGCCAAATGGTTTTTTAAAGTAGACATAACTCGATTACCCTTTCCAAATTTCTCATCTGTAATCCTCTTTTGATTTACGCATTCCTTGTGGGGCAGTGTTAGGTTATTGAAGCATTTGTATGTAGAAAAATATGAGGATAACGATGTCAAGGAATCCGTTGTGTTGCTCAGAGTATAAGAATTAATTGGTGGAATATCTTCAAGTTGTTCTGGGCAATTAATTTGAAATTTCGTATTATCATCTGAAACTGGGCATTCCGGGTTTAATTTTAAGTTTCTAGAGTGGTGGCGAGATTGCTTGAGACGTAAAGGTGCTGTAAATGGGAATAAAAGTTTGGCTTTTTTCTTGGAGGAGAGTGGCGAATTTCCGAGAAAATCTTGATCGTAATAATCAAAGAAATTTCTGAAGTGATTATTATTATTATAAGCATTATCCCTTAAGTTGGAATCGCTAAGGGATAGCTGAGATAATTTATCGAGCTCTGGCGATTTAGAAAATAAGTAATTGTTTGTATTACATTTTTCTTGGGTTGTTGAATTGACTATCGGATATGGATGGCACAAAGGAGCGCTATTGCATCGGGTTTTGGAAGAGCTAATCTCATCTTTATTTATATAATCGCCATTTTGGTCCAAACTAATGGTGCCCTGGTCAATCAAAATTCGGGGTTTAACACTTAAAGAGATATCTGAATCATTGCAAATTTTGCCGTTCCTACATTTGGTTTCCATGCCATCTTCTCGTGGGAGGTTAGAAGATTTTTTTGTAAAGAAATAGTTTTGTAATAAATAAAATGTTTTTGGCTTCTTTTTCGCAAAATTGGGTATGTGATCAACTTTGTTAATAAACCGATCGCTATGCAACTTATTCTCACCTTCATCAAATATTTGATCTTTCATACTATATTTCTATTTGATCACGCATCATGTGACTAGAAAAATACTAATGTATATCGATTGATGGTAAATTATCCTTAAAAAAATGTATACGGAGATAATATTATAATCTCGAGTTATTTTTATATAAAAAGACAGAGATAGATTTAAAAATATTCAAAATAAATAACGAAAATGAATCATTGATTGAGAATGGTTTATTATTTTTTTAGCGTAAATAAAAAATCTGACCATATGATTGCTAATAATCAAAATGATAATCAATAAAATTATCATCAGATAAAAAGTGAGATATATGAAGCATGCATATATTTACTTTATTCCTGCGTATATTTTTAGTTGCTTTGCTATTATTTATTTAAATTTTGTTAATCGAATAGGAATAATAAATAAAAGTTAATGGATTAAAAAAATCACATGTGCATATATTAAAATTGTTTATATAAAAAAATTATAAATATATTTTATGATTATCTAATTTATAATATAAAAATATTGATGAAATTAATACAATGTAGTTTTACTACCACCAATGGTTATGTAAAAAGATAAAAGAAAAAAAGTTTAATGATAGATGTTTTTTAAATGTCACCCGTACTAAGCTAACTAATCAGCATCGTGCAACGTAATCTCAAATGTCTACCTAATGGTTTATAATTTATTTTTGTATACCTGGCAGATAAGGAACCCATCCGTAAAATATTATGATTTTAAAAATTAGTGCCGGGCTATGAAAATAGATTAAAATTACATCAATTTAAACAATTTACGAATTATTTAAACTATCGGAATATTAAAAATAAGGACCGTAAAAAGATTAAAATTTTTAAAAAATTAGAGCGGGGCAAGTATTGAAAATTACAAAATTTGAAAAATAATATTTTGGCCAGGTATTTTATTTTTTATTTATAAATTTTAGAATTGAATTCTTTGAAAGTAGAACAAATATAAAAAACGGGTTCCATAATTAAACCTTAATATTCTCTATTTAAAACTATGGCATATTCATCAATATATAGAATACACAAATATTATTTTATAAAAATAAATTTCATGCTCATAAGTCATAGCCCATTCATTCATTCCTGGCTACTCGTTGAATGCATATATATTTATATACGTTTTATTGCTAAAAATGATCTTTATGCATATAGGGTCATAATTAAATCTAAAAACAATCTGAAGATGGATCCGTAAAAATTTTTTTGTAATTTATTAATCATGTGTATATCATAATAAATATGGCATTTGGGAAATTCTGTTCAATGATGATCTTGCACCACCCTCCCCACCCCCTCTAGAAGTTCCTGGGTTAACGGCATCAGATTTAAACTTTTGTACGATATTTATTATTAATGGTTCAAATTAGAGATGTGCAATAAAAAACTCACACCCATATATTTTTATTTTAAAAATTGCTTTAATTCATGAAGGCTCTCTATTTTACTTTAATCCTTATAAATCCAGAAGCGTATCCACCGAGAGGAGGATCCCTCGGTAGCAAATTTTTTAGAAAAAATATATAAGGGCTCAGGAGCGTAACCAGCGGGAGCAAGAATTTTTGAAAAAATATAAAAGGTGTGAATTTCAAAGCTTTCTATTTCAAATAGGTTATATTTAGAGTAACTATTTACTTTTACAAATATTCATATATTATTATAAATATATTCAAATAGTTAATTTTATTTTTAACATGTTATATCATAATATATTTTTTAAATTAAATATCTGATTCTGTATGCGGGACTTTTTTTTATAGTAAATATTGAAAAATAAATCAGATAGATACAGCATCATGGCCGCAGCCTGGATTTTGCTAAGGGGAAAGCACAATTTCTGGGTTTTAGCATAAATTTTATTGGTAGGTCTAGGTTATTTTTTATAAAAATAATATTGGCTTTTACCCTTTTAAAAAATTTTGAATTATAGTCATTATTTAAAAAAATTATTTATTTTTTTCAAATTCTTGTTTATTGTAATAATTTTCGAAGGGGGGTATTTCTCCTTAGCTATGCCCATGTACAGAATTTAATATGAATTCTAACTCTGACTCGTCATTTAATGAGGATGACATTCAAATGATTTAGAATGATGAAATAGAAATTGTACCATCCCTTTCTAAAAGTATTACTAAAACAACAGACTTATATGTTAAAATACCTTAGCCAAGCAATATGGATTCCATAGAGAAAACTGGTAGTACAAGCAATTTTAGCGTTAAATGTTTCCTATGTAGTATTGTTAAACCGCTCAATTTCGATTTTTAAAAAGGTCCCGATTAAGATTTTAGCTAAAATAATAAGTCTTAAGATTTTGCTCATAGATGACAGAAATTACAACTCTTTTTGTCAAATCTCGAGGTTTACATAATATTATTTTGGCTTAAATCTTAATCGGACCATTTTTAAAAGTGGACCCAAATAATGTCGTTTAACAAAACTACTACTATGCCTTCCAAAAAACAGGTATATTTCAGCATCTATGTCATCCATAACCAAGCTATGGGAACACATCTCTGTAGGATTATTTTTACATAATATGCCTTAAATAATTGTACTAAATTTTAGTTAAAACAAGATTTTTGTATAGCTAAATATTATACAGAATTATGATTTAAATTAAACTAACTTTATAATTAAAATTACTTAAACTACCTTCCCAGCGAATGATGATTTTCTTGTCATACATTATACTTAGTAGCAACATAAGATGCTAACAAGATCTTTTTATATAATTTATAAAAAGCATATAACATTGCCATATGAAAATACTTTGTGGAACAAAACAAACTGGGCCATCATCTGAACTAATTAAAAAGAAATTAAATTATTACTTAGCTTATTTTTGAATAGAAACAAGCGGGTGTTTTAGACAGAATTTTTAAAACAGTTTAATATTAAAGGCAAATAATAATTTACTAAGCCGCATTTTTATAAAAATAATCAGTATATTTTCTTTTAAATAAAAAAGAATGTGTTATATAAATGATTTATAAGGTAACTTATAATGTAACTCGTTACTTTTGAAATATACTGTAATTAGTTACATCTGAAAATATGTAACTAGTTACCATTTTACGAATGATACTGTAACTGTAACTAGTTAAATTTTAAAAGTAACTTTTAAGAACATAAGTTATATTCTATTCAAAATATTAGCAAAAAGTTAAGATTAATTTATCTCACGAAATTTAAAGTTTATAAAGAGATTTTACTGAATATAATTATTTCTGAGACTTATTGTGCCACAGGAATAATGAAACAGAAAAAAGTCTGAACGACAAGATGGAGCATTCGAGATCAAACTGTTACCGCATTTTTTGGATCTAGAAGAACCTATTTTGTATGCCCATGGAGAAATATTAGAATCACCTTAAACACATATTTCATATGAAGCTGATACATTGTTAGATTTAATATGACTATGAATTTTTTCATTGGAATATATTAATAAATTATTTAACACAACAATTTTATGCAATATTTTTGAAAAAAATGGATATGGCTGAAGTTATGAGAAAGAATCGCGAATATTATTATATTACAAATTAGAAGAGATAATATCGATCAGGAATTTCTCGAGATTTAAAAGTTTGTTGAGGTGAAAGTTTTAAGATTTTGAGATTCACAAGCCTCGACTTTACCTACAAACAAGTATCTCCAATATTAATGTATACTCAATTAGAGATCATTATAAAATAACCATTTTTATTCCACTTTTGGATTTAATTTTGACTCAAATAAATGAATGATTTGTGATATATGAAATGGCTCTATCCAATTTACAAATACTATATCTCATAACTCCATCTGATCTGCGGATATTTCAAAATCTTGATATTGAAAAATTAATCATTAGTTAAATTTTATTCAGAGGCAATAGTATCTAACAAATTAATTTCAGAATTCTCCACGAAATACAGTGGAAGCATTGCATAGTTTAATATATTTTTTATGTTTTCCAAATATATTAAAATTACTATATATTTTGGCAATGATACCAATTAGTACAAGCACAAATGCGCGAACCATTTCTTCATTGTAGAAATAAAAACCTATACCAAAAGTATGAAATCTTAAAATTAATTGAATAGATTAACTTTACTCATCGAGATCTAATCCCCAACACAAAAAATTATTAAAAAATTGCCACAAAGATTAAATTTTCATTTATGAAAGATATTTTACTAACTTTTTAAATCATTATAAAATTAATTTTATATTTTATTGTGATTTACATACCGGTTTATATATCTATAATATTTTTTAATCGTATTATATTCGCTCTTAATTTGGACCGGTCATAAAAAATAATTGATTTTATCATTATGCACCCTCCCTCTTTATTTTTATTTTTAGGAGCGGGTCGGTTTTTAAAATAAATTTCGACATCATTCCTAGTTGGAAAAATTGACTTGAAGGCCCAGGTCTACTTGGCTGGAGGAGATGTGTCAATCGAGGCCTGCAGGTCTAAGTAGGCAATTTTTCTTATTTTAAACAAGGTTTTTTTGTCTTTTTTTCTCTTTAGCTTTCACCTTTTCTGGTGGTAAGCTCCTTCAATATCTCTCTCCACTTTATGTTATTCATGCTATTTCGTTTATCTAATTTATACTTCTTGGCTCTAACTTTATGGCCCCATTGAAGTTTTGGCCTTCCTCTTTTACGTTTACCCATCACTTCCAAACTCTCAACCTTATTTCCTATGTAGTTCATAGGCCTTCTCATTGTATGCTCATACAACCTAATGTTTAGCATTATCTTAGTCTTAATGGACACTATTTAAACTTTCTAGTATTCTTATACTTCGCACCTTATCCTTTCTTAACAAGGTGAGATAATCTAAATTTTAAATAGGACCAGGTAAGCAAAGATATAATTTAGAAAAGTTTCTTATATCCTTTTTAGATTATTACTGAGAGAGAGCCCCAACAACATTTATAGAATTTCATTCTTTATAAATTATAATTCGCGTTGAAGAGGTAAATCGAAGAAATTAATTTATTAATTATAAACCATATTATTATAAATTTAATTCAAATAAATTTATGACCCGCTCGATAAAATTTGTAGTTAAAT